CTGGCAGCACGGGGCGAAGCCCGTCTGCAAGGCAGCTGCCACATAGGGGTCAGCAGGCAGGGGCTAAAGCCCTATCTGCACATACCCTTCAGTTTTTATAGGTATGCCTACCTTTCAGTGCCAATGAATAAACGTGGTTAATAGTGCGACATTAATTCAACTGTAAAGACAAAAAATGTTTAACCTACGCTTAAAAACATCCTTAACTGGTACAACGCTTGGGGCTACACAGGGCAGTTATGATTTCACACATAAGCTGAATTCACGAAACATATGGGAAATCCAACCAGGTTATTTTTTTCGTGCAATTTTTGTAAAGTACTTTAGAAAGCACTTACAGATACAAGTGTGTAAGAACATACTTTCCTCTAAAAAGAATTACCTTTACATTTACTTGCTTACCAGCCTTCACTCCGCGCAGCATGCTATGCCGTACAGTTGCTCCATGCATGTGTGTAACAAGAAGTCCCAAAAACCAGTGTACTCTCCAGAACTGCTTTGTAGGCCTATTTCCTACAACAGCTGTCCCCAAATGCTGCTGCAAAGCAACTATTTCAGAATCTCATCTAGTTCCCTTTCTAGACACCAACTAATTTTTCACAATGAGAACAGTCAGCCATTAGAATGATCTCCCCAAGGGAGTGGTTGACTCCACCACACTGGACACTTTCAAAACACAGCTGGACAGGTGCTGGGCCATCTTGTTTAGACTGTGCTCTTGCCCAGAAAGGCTGGACCAGATGGTCCTTGAGGTCCCTTCCAACTTGGTATTCTATGATTCCGTGCCCCACTGGAAGAGGAAAAAGAAGAGGAAGGATGTAGAACCTTTAATCATTTCTTAGAAGAGTAGTAGTTACCGTGAGTGGGGGCCCTCACGCTGGGGCAAGTGAAGATGAAGTTTCCGCTGTACAGGCAGCTCTAATATTCTTTGGTATTGAAAATACAAATTGGTAGTGAAATTACAAATCACCTGCAGCGAGCCACTGTTGCTGACTCTTAAAAACCAGCTGAGGTAGGAGAGCCCAGCAGCACCATCCTAACACTGCTCTAGAGCCAGCTCCAGTTCGGAAACTACTCTTAACCTTTGCAGGCAGGTTGTATCTGCGCAAGTAGCAACTCAAAATGCACCATTGACACCGAAACAGCTTTTCAAGAGCCAGCTTAATGCTGGCAAGCATGAAGCTAGGTGTAAGCCAATTTGGTGAAAAGCCATACAAGTTCCTCTGCATTTACTGTCCACTGGATTGCATGGTAACAAATTTTTGGGACCACCTAAGGTATACCAAAGAGTTCCTTTCGATAACACAACAATTTTCTTATAAGGAGCTTACATATCTAGGGAAACAGAGTGCCAGCAGCACTGGGTCAGGAAGGAAGGAGGAAAAACCTGAAAGATGTGGTAACAGACAACACAGAAGAATCTCGATCACAAAATAACTCAGCAAAGAATACAGTTTTTCTGTCAACACTTGGGATTTTGAGACCCAAGTGTTAATTTGCAAGCTTGCTGAAAACTCGCTGCTGTCTGTGCCCAGCGTGCTCTTTCACTGTTGCGAGTGGAGCGTGCCAACAGGTTGTGATAGTGCTCCACCACCTCGATTGAAGCAGGCGCAGTTAAAGCGAGGATGGAAGTGCCATCCGCTGAACTCCAGCCACAGCAGACTACTTGCTGCAACCCCCTCTCTGTAAAATAGCTTGTCCGCCTCTGGAGTTTTGCATTTCACAGCACAGCTGAGGTGGGAAGGTACCTCTGGAGATGATCTAGTCCGACACCTGCTCCCCATGCATGCAGGCAGGTTTTGAAGAAGACTCCACAACCTTTCTGAGCATCCTGCTCTGCTGTGTGACCACCCTCCCCAGAAAAGGTTTTTCTGATGTTTAAATGGATTCTCCTCTACTTCGGTTTGTGCCTGTTGCCTCTCAGCCTGCCACTAAGCACCACCGAGAAGAGTCAGGTGGTTTTTACTCCCCCTCCATCACATTTATACACATTGGTAAGATCCCTCCTGAGCCTTCTCTTCTCCAGGCTCTCCTCATACAATGGATGCTCCACTCAGTCATCATCCTGGCCTTTTGCTGGACTAGCTCCAGTTAAGTCCCTGTCCCTCTTGTACCAAGGAAGCCCAGAACTCCAGATCTGAGCAGAGAAGATCACCTCCCTTGACCTGCTAGCAACCCTCTTCCCAAGGTGGCCTGTGAGACTGCCGGCCCTCGTTGTAGGCTGGCTTATGGCTCATGACCCACTACAACCCCCAGCGCTTTTTCCAAAACTTGCTTGAACAGCAACTTCCCCTTTCCAAAGGGGTGATGCCCAGCACCCAGGCATCACTGGGATCGCTGAGGTTTCTTCCGCGCCACACCCATACGTCACCCCGCTCCCGGACCAGGGAGCTGGCAGGAGGCCCAGCCCTGCTGGGGGTTCAGGAGTGACTCAGCAGCAGGGAGAGGAGGCAAGCTTTTTAGTAGCCAGGAACAAGTTCAACAAGTTCCCAGGACTATCAAAGAGGTATTTTTACGGGAAATGCTTGGCTATAAAAGCTTTCACAAGAGCTTCTAGGAAGTTGGAAGTGGTAGATACAAGAGTTTGTCCAGTTCTTACGCTACAGGAAGCAATTTAAGCATGGAACTTTCCCAGAGCGACGTAGCAGTAAGAGTAAGGCTACACCCCCGCCTCAGGCCTGCAGAAGTGCTCATGTATCACCATAGCCCATAGAAAGATTATAGTCTTTTATTGATTTCTTGTTTTACAGATTTAGATTTAACTTTTCTCAATAATAAAGTTCAATAAATCGATTCCCTAATCGTAAAAACTTGTTTTACACATTATGTACAGGTACCCAGAGATGACAGCCATACAGCAAGTCACAGCGAGAGCACAGACCTTTGCACAGGAGGAGCAGGGGAGAGGCGTGAGCTGCCAGGACGTACATTCAGACACCAAGCCGTGGACAGGCGCAGGGCGTTTGGCACAGCCCACCGACGACTGCCCACGCAGGGACAGTAACATCGTCCCAACCAAGCCATAACGTGGATTAGTTCAACTACACCAGTTCCAGGAGGAAGAGGTTTGATTAAGTTGAATCAAATGCAGCCGAACTGATCATTTTGGTTTCATTAAGCATCCCTCTAGAGACAAATCCTAGACCTTGAGACCAGTCCAATATAAACCAAGTCTTTCTAGTTGAGATACGCAGAAGTTGGAGGACCAAGGGGAGCTCAGGTACTAGAAGTATTCTTTGGCAGTTTGATACAAATATAAAAAAATAGATTACTTTTGAGGACCAAACTAAGCTTTTCCCATTTTACATCTTTACTGCCAGCACCAGAGCTGCTTCAGTGACACAGTAACTCTTACCATATGGTAACTTAAACACAACCTCACATTTTAATGGAACAAAATTCATATTACAGATAAACTTTAATACCCAAGATAGGCTCCAACAGGCCACCTGCTCCCCACAAAAAAGTTAAGTTGAACATTCGCTGAGAAAACTTTCCTATGGCAATGACAGAACCCGGGACACATTGCACGACCGTTCATCTTCTCTGCAATACAGTAACTGGCAAACATCAGAGACCAGTCTGCAAAAGGCAGCCAACTGTACTCTGAGCAGCCCCACTCATACGGAACTTTATTTGATGTCAAAACCATTAGTCAATTAAACATCCCTTTCTCTTTTATGAGATAAAGTAGACCACAGCGCTCTTGGGTAGCTGCAATCTGATCTTAGTACGATGAAAAACTGCAGTTAGGAGTTTATACCATCTTACATCAAGCTACAACAGTTAAAAAGCACTGTGCACAAAGAAGCAGACATTCATTTAAAATCTGGCAATTCCCTTTTAAAAGCAGAAGTTCTCCCTTCTAATGACGGGGGTAACGAGCCAGACTCAGTTTGGGGGGGTGGGGGCGGAAGGGAAACACTTCCAGAATGAAGTGTCCAACAGTTCTACAGCCTGCAGGGCAGAAGGCTGCAATGTTAATGTCTGTCTCCAGTAATACAGCTCTAAAGATACCACTTTGTCCAACTGCTGCTAAAAAGACTTTCAATTCCAAATTACTTCCAACAATAGGAATGTAACTCAAATAGGACATTCCACAATGAAGGCTGCTTAGCTACTGTATCCATTTAGTTATCTCAGTTTTGAGATAGTGTAGCGTAGCTTCACTTCATCTTGTCTGCTGCAGGCTCCCATTCAAACTTCTAACGCGCAGTTCAAAACAAACCTAACAAAAGGCTTAAGCAGACTCCCCTACCAAGTACAGGAGCACAACAAGCAGGTCACATTCACCAAGGAAGTGGACCAAGTCCATTTTCAGATTTTTTCAGCAAGTGATGCCAGAGCCTTAGCCAGCTCATCACCTTAGGTGACAATTTTATGGGGAAAATAGGTATGCAAACAATACATTGTACTGTTTATGCTTATTCCCTATGGAAAACTGACCTGATAAGAGAAGTTTCACTCAGGGCTGTAGGAATGTTTTGATTTTGACCTCTTGGGGGGGGGGGGGGGGGGGAAGAGAGGATGGATAGTGCTACACAGACTGCCTAATCCACTTACCATTGAAGCTTCCATTCCTTTTTATGGAATCTTCTCAGTATTTCTGGAACTTGATACCTACTGCTGGCTCAAGTCATCACAGCCTAGTAGCACTCTGTTCTCACAGTTAACAGAACCAATACTGACCCCTCTGAAATTCACATATATTACAGTAAATGTATCTGAAGATAAACCAGGTGATTAGCTCTGAAATGCCTGACCATGAAGAATTGAAAAGAAAGAAGCTTATATCAGAGCTCTTCCTTGGATTTAAGGACCTTCAGAGCATGAACTCCTATTTTTGTTGTCCTGTAGACTTCACAAGACTTAATTCTTGCATGTTCTTTTGGTCCCTTGGACATCAAAGTGAGGGTAATACTGCAGCTGAAACTGTCTTTTTCATCAAGGAAATCTGCAAGCTTCCCCCTCCCCACAGATTCTCACGCATTCACACAGACTCTCTAGAAAGGTAAGACACTTTATTGAATTTGTTGATAAATTAAGAAAGGACTATGAACCAGACTTATGGGTCACAGGTGCTTGTAAACAGACAGCAATTCCTTCCCACAGAAAGCCTGACTCCATGTGCTCCGCCAGAAGTCACTTTCCCCAGCGTTGCTCACAGGCTGCATAGTGATGGAGGGCAGAGAAAAAGTCTTCATAGCTGATGTTCAGGTGAGAAGGCAAAGAACTGAGAAAGCAAGTTTGAAAAATTAAAATAAGCTTTTATGAACACTTCACGATTTGTATGGCCAGCCAGGAATATCACTACTTAAAGTAAGCTCTTGCCTGAGTAACCTTGTGAAGTTGTTCTCACACTTACTGTCACTCAACTGTAGTAACTGAACTAGCTGTTAGTATCTTGCCACCCTCTAGAACAAAGCCAACCATTACAGTCCTAGGGCACTTCAAATCAGCGAGAAAGTTGGATAAGCACAGGTCTGCCCAGACATTTAAGAGCCCTACGAATGCTCTCAGATTTAAGAAATAGAGCAAATACAGTCAAGTTCAGTTATTGCCAAAACTGGAAAGTGATCCAGAGGCACAATCATTGTGCATTATCCTATTTCCCTTATATCCTTAGTTTTCCCGATAGAAACCTGTAAGCCACTTAAAATCCACATAAACAACACTGACAGACTTGGATTGGACCACTGCAACTAGATAATGACAGAAGTTTTTCCTCAAACCTGAAGAGTAAAGCCTGCTGTTGCCTAGTTGTGGCTGAAGAAAGCAACAAGCATTTGACAGGTTTCATGTAACAATTTTTAGACACCCTCAAATCAATTCCCAGACACCTCTGTTTAGACAGATCTCCTCTTACGGCTATTTCCATAGAGTCAGTCACATAAAGACTTGTTTAGTTAGCTATTATTCCAACCTGCTTTACAGTACTTATAGGCCACTCACATGATCTCTGTCAGTCTGATGTGCCACGGAAGAAATCCTAATGTGCTGTCCACAGGACCAAACTTCAAGACTAAATCAGGATCAGGAAATCCATTTGTACCTGTAAGAACAAGCTAAATTAGGTTTTGTCAAATTCACCAGAAGATTTGTTTCAATGCTAAACCCTAATGCATCTGCTTTTTCATTGAAGGCGGTTTTTTGTTTTTTTTTTTTTAAAAGGAAGTGAAGCTCCTGAGGGCTCTGAGTTGTTAACTAGTCCAAGAGGACAGACTGGTCTTGCACCACCTGAACAGGATCAACTGAGCAAAAGCTTAGGCAGCCACTGCAGGCCCAGCTGGACCATTATTTTTGTCAGATGGTTTTCAAAGACTTGATAAGAAAGTGATAGGAACATTGTATTGAATAACAGCAAACCTTAACACTGCTCTTTAAACTGATCCATTCTAGTTTGTCTTGGCAAACTCGATTTTAGTAGCATAGAACATGCTGTATCCTGACCCATACCTACTATAGTCCTAACTCAACTATGTGGAGTTGCAATCGAGTAAAAGGACTACAAAAAAACCCCAAACTTAAGGAGGTTCCACTGAAGAACAAGTCGGTATCACAGACCATCAAGAACACAAGTTGTAAAAAAAAAAAAAAAAAACAAAAAAAAAAAAACCAAAAACCAAAAAAACACCCAAACCCTGTCAGATGAACTGTCTCTTTCTCAATATGGAGCTAGACAGACAATTTTAGAAACAACTTTTACTATGAAATTTCAGACAAACTGTTGCAGGTGACATCTTGCTGGTTAATGAGTAAGGAAAAAACAGGGCAATATTTTTTTTCCCCCTGTTACCAAGTCAACAGCATGACCCAAGCCAGGGCAGGGCTAGATAACACTGAAGGACTTCACTATGTGCTCACACTCTTACTGCCCATACCTTAAAACACCAGTCACTGACATTCCACTAGTCTAATCCCAACTCAGACGACCTCATTGTCTTTGCCCAGTCTCTGGAACAGGGCATACAAACAGTTGTTTGAAAAAATAAAAAAAAAAAAATAAAAAAAAATAAAAAAAAAAAAGAAAAAAGCTACTAAACTTCATTCCCTGAAAAGCCGAGACCAAATACTACAGTTTGATGCACAAGAAAGTCTCCCCAAGAAAAGAGAAGCTAGTTAAATCTTTAGTAGCTTGCTGTCTTGCTCACCAGTGAGAGCATCCTACTGTTCACTCGAGATTGAAGACAATCAGTGGCCAACGACATTGTCTCCCTTCCATACACTTCTGCCATGCCTGAGCTACTCCAGGCTAAAAATTGACAGCTAGGCAATAAGTTTAGAATGAATAGTCTCAGTCCAGCTTTCCCTGATAATTCTAGCAAGTTTGTTAGAGCAACACGTGAAAACCAGCATAGTACCCCAATGAAACCCAAGAAGGTAAGCTGTTCTTCATGCACCTACCTAGCTCATCTGAAAAGCATTCCAGCAGTCATAACCCTACTTTGCTATAAGGCTGCAATTAGTTGTGATTATTGCATGCTATTTCTTGTTATTCCTTCCATTACCCACAAATTCTGTAAGTTAACTGCAAGAGTGGTTACATTGTATAATACCTACCTTTAGCAGATAAAAGTTTAATACTGCCTATTTGCTCTGAACTTCAGATGTTATTTCTCAGTTCTTTTCTCACATGTTTAAAAAAGCAACCAAACCAGTCAAGAACCTTTTACAAGTTTAAGTTTAGTTGTAAAGGAACTTAACTTTGGGAATAGCAAAACAGGAAACTAAGGTCCTATCAGCTTTTGCTCTGCCCAGATTTTGGAACTGAAGTTGGAGATTTCAAAAAGTTCACACCCTCCCTCCCCACTGAATAATCACAGTAACAATCCTTTTACCAGAGGTAAAGAAGCTATTTTCCCAAGCATATGCGTTTCTAAGGAAGGATGAAGTATTTAGATACGAGTGCCACATGCCACAGTCCAAATCTTATCTCAAAGTTAAGAAAAAAATTATAAAGCAGAAACTGCTTATGTGTTCAGAAGCTAGCATGTTAGTACAAAAGAGCTTTGCAGGGAAGTAGTGAATACTTAGAAGTGGGGGCTCTGGAGGAAGTGGACAGCTTTACTCATCAGCTGATTCAGTAGCTGAGTATTCCTCAGCTGGCCAGTTCAGCAGCAGGATCTTCAACACTGCAATGGCTTTTCAAACAGGAAAAGACCTTCAGAGAGCCCAATTAATGCTAGTATTTCCTTCTGGTTCCTATCTGAAGGAAAATGAAAACGTACACTGTAGTATCACTGTCAGAACAGCCTATTCACAACACAGTACTGTGCTTTCCACTCTGCATCCATTTCTCTACCTAAACGTATCAACACTACAGATACTTTGCATGTGGGAGCTCCTTCAGAGCTGCTAGAGTTACAGCACTCTTCAAATATAGCACACACAACACAGAAGGATTTGGGAGTAGACTAGTAGACTGAAAAAAAAAAAAAAAAAAGAAAAAAGGGGCCAAGACTCAGGACACTCAAGGGACAGGAATCTGGCAACATCCCTTCTAGGTCAGGAGTTCCGTGAGGGGAACATGAAGAAATTTGTAGAGCTGATAGATAGCACTACCTTTCTCTTCTCCACACAGATTTTATGGGGCAACATGAACAGCCTCAATCAATAGTCATGTTCTTTACTAGGAAGGCAGATGGCAAGTAGAGGCAATACTACAATGCAGCTGGCACCCACTTTTCTGAAAACAAGCTGGTTAGCTGAGGCATTGCTCAGAAGAAAGTACTCTTACACTAAAGAAAACTCAAGCTGTAAGAATTAGAGCATGTCTGGATTAAAAACCAGAAAAGCCACATGACAAGCTAGAACCATATCATTTTAGGACTAGACTTCAATAACTGCATCCTAAATATTAACAGAAATTTAAAAGACCACATTGTCAGGCATTTAAATAAAAATGTGAAAAACCAGAAACTCGCAGAAGTCACCATGAACACAAGTTCTAAAACCATAGCTACTCAAGTACTGCTTTTCAGAACTAACTCTGAATTTAGATCAGTAACTCACAGATGTTTATGTTCAATACCTTGCCATTAAGGATGCACTGAAACTAAATTTGCCTGCAGCTAAAATGGTTAGTTTCATAAGCTGCTGCGAAAGAAGTCATGAAAGAGTAGTTCTTCACCTCCAACTGTCCTGAACATTAAAACCAGGCAAATTAATAAGCAGGACTAGTTATAGATACTATCCCTAGTTATTAGCTACATAGATTAAGCAGCCTGTTTTCAAAGTTTACAGTTTTGACAGACTAATAGTGTAGATTTCTTTTTCTGTGCTCAGCTAGCATGCATTACGTGAACAATAAATCTGCTCAGTTTTTAAGGCTATGCAGACTGGACCTAATACTCTTAGCACATCCAGACACTGAAGTGCATGGATAGAAGATCATGAACAAGTGTTTGACAAGCTCCAGGTAAACATCACTGGACAGAACGCATACATGGGTATCACCTGTCACCAGTTCTTCACGAAGTGAGGGAATGTTTTAGACAAGCAATTATTCATTTCCTTAAGTTGCCTTTAGGATATAACAGGATAGATGTCCAAGTCACTTCTTCAGAGGTGCCTTACTAAACAGATTTAATAATTCCATTACAGTGAGAAGCTATCAGGCAGCATGCATGGGATAGAATTCAGTTTGAAATCAATCTTGAAGTGTCTAAACTGCCACTGTAGTCAGCCTGCAGAGCAATCCAGCTGACCACCCATTTGGAAAAAAAAAATATCACTCTCAAGTCCAATTAATGGGAGCCACATTACAATAATGTGCCTGGAGACATCCAAGTTCAAGTGTGCAATCTGAAGCCTGCACACTGCCAAGTTAATTACAGCCGCAATTAACATGCTCAGCTTTCCTAGGCAATCCATGCAAGTACTATAGCTCCATAGCACCACTGGGGAAGTGGAGGCTTGTTCTAAACTGCTTCTCCCAGAGAGGTAACATTAGGGAACCCTGCCCTTTTCATGGACCTCAGTGCAGAGTCAGTAATCTGCATGAATTATTAAAGAAGGTAACTAAGCTAGCATAGGTTATACATCAGCAAAAGATGAGTGAGCGTTCTATCATTTGCACTCAGAGTAGTAGTTAGGCAGCAGTAACTGCTTTAATTGCTGTAACTAGATCTGGAAAAAACTCTCTGCCCATACTCAGGTTTGCAGCATGCTAACTTGCAAGAAGTTAATCTAAGTCCTAATAGTCTAGTTTCAGTGGTACTTTTTTCAGAAAGCTCATCACAGAACATCCCATAGAGGCTGTAAACTCTGAAAAGCTGAAACTCTCCAATTTATCTTAAGGTTTGAATTTTTTCTGCTTAAAGGGAGTAAACCAGTAAGAAATTTTTAGCAGAAGCCTGAAAGCAATAATCATAACTTACCCCGACAGACTAAGCATCAAGATGCTTACATTCTAAGCAATAAACAAACTAGAAACCAAATCTGTTATGAATAGAGTACTCTTCCCCTCCTCCCCACAGACCATGTCATACTTACTACTTAATAAGTTGTCTAACACATTCACATCCAGGTCTGTGTATGTTCTTTGCTGCTGTGCTACCAACTGACAAAAGTTCTGAGCAGCTTTTACTATGTCTGCTTTTCCATCTTCTGGAGACAGCACCTTCAATGTAGATTGGCAATTTAAAACTGAAAGTACAAAACACAGTTTAAAAGCAACAGAAATATAGTTGTTTTGAATATGCTTTAGCTATTCACAGGATATGACTGAAAGCAACTTGTAGATTACTTCATATATTATACAGCTAGTCATAGATATTCCTCATCCATCTCTTACAGAAGTGGGTAAGAATTTTCTGGATTTGCTGTATTACTAAAAAGCAAGCCTAAGGCAACTATTTTGAGGAGTCTCATGAAAAGTGGTTTTATTCATGTCAGTCTTGAAATGTAGAGTCTTCCAGGGAATTTGCATTGGTTCTTATGCTGTCAGACAAAGCAGTGAGAGGAAGGTGCCTAGATAGTAACTTGGGGGGTGGTAAGCAATGCAGAAAGACTTGCAGTTCAGGAAAAGGGAAAGAAGATCTAATTCCTACCCTAGAAGAGGAAGCTGTTTTAACAGTTACTGTGGACATTCATATGACACAATGATTAAGCTGGGGCCCTCCCTGAATATGATCACAGGATCTTTCAGCAGCACTTCAAAATCGATGCAAGAGTTACAATATTGATCGAAGATTGCTACAGAGAGGCTAGGAACTGGATAATAGTTCCAGAATTCGCCCATTAATCTATAATTATATCTGTTACTTAAAAGAACATTTCACAACAATCTTATTACCTACACTATTGTGAGGTAAGAGTCTTCTTGCACTACCTCACTTGCATCACTGTCAGTTCTGATAAGGTACCCAAGAGGTAAACTTACCAAGGAATCTCAAGGCTACAGATAGCGTACTAAACCCAGCTTGAAGTAACTGGGTTAAATACTAGTATGTGGACACACTAGACGGATACAGAACTCGTGATAGTTATAACTATACTTACAAATACCATTTCTTAAAACTGCAAAACCTGGCTGCAAAGGACCGCAGAATACAGTCTCATAAGAACATCTAAAAAAATTCAATTAGCCTATCCAAAGCCACCACAATGAAAATAATTGTTCCTTGATATTGTTTGATTTGTCATACATCCTATGTTAAAGAATATTTCTCTAGCAGCATTCATAAGCTTAAGACATGTCTTTTTGCTTCTCAGAAGTGAAAAATTGCAGTTTATTGTCACAAACTGGATAGATATTGGCTTGTTCAGTTCAAAGTATGACGCACCTGGTCTGACTGTGGGGCCTTCTAAGAATGAAAAATTCTGAAGAGAACAGAAGACACCTCTGCTTTTCATAGTTTCCAGCACAAAAGTTCTTGCAACTTAAATGTACCCTTTCAGTTGGCAAGTCTGAGCCATCTTCTAGTAGTTCATTTGGTCTGGACATTAAGTATCCTGATTTAGGTAAGTGCAGCCAAGTAAGCTAGAGTTGAAGACATTAACAGCCTGTCTACCCTGTTTTCTGCTGGTTATTTCAACCTTCACAGGAATAAAGAGAAATAACATGAAATTTAGGTGTTTCCATGTAAGTACTAGCACCTTAGCCTAAGTTGCTTACAAGGCCAGTTTATGCTACAACATTGGACTTGACTGGAAAACTGGCACAAAGGATCTCACCATCCTATTAGCTCCTGTAGGGGAAGCAAAACTCAGCCAACAGTATCTTAAATACAGCTAAAAGTACTAGAGCTTGTGAATTGTAGCTTTTTTCTTAAGTCTTTGAACTATGTGATATAATTGTCTTAAAACGTAAGGGGGTTTTATTATAAGACCTCTTTAAATATTAGGAGTTGTAGGAGAGCTGTAAGTATCAGCCTATCGCTCTAAGGCAAAGGCTTGCTTGTGATTTACTACATTTTGAACAGGCTTCTAGCATTTGCATTAGTCACAATACCCAAACAAACACTTACAGCAGATAGTATTGAATAAGGAACATTAACCTTGAAACAGGGTTTTTCAAAGTTTTGTTTGTTTTTTAAACTTGTAACACCTTCCTGGTGTCATCATACATTGCCATGACAACCAGCAGTTTTGTTCTTTCCCGTCTTCCTCCCAACTTCGAGATGTAAGTTTGGAAAGATGGAAGTGCACGCATTGTTACCTTGACATCAGTTTCCTTACAGTAACTCCAGTGCTTTTTCAACTCTCTCAGCAAAAGAATTTATCTCACTGAAACAGTGTGGAGTTAAGCTACACCAATGCATTAAAGGGAAGATCAGACTACCCAGTCTGTAATGGTCACCATGGGAAGGAGAGCACAACACTTCACTATGAGTTAAGAACAAATAAGCACAATGGAAGTTTACCACTTGCCCAGAAAGGTTGTGTATGTTCTGATAATTAGTGCTTAGTGAAGAAAAAGGTCACTGTACACGGGAATACGCTTAAGTAAAAGCAGAGTTATGATTTATGTACAGCTATTTAGAGTCATACCAATCCCCACTCACAATTCATCTTACCTTGATCAGCTTTGTCTTGATTTGCAAATTCCACGGTATACTTGGAGCAATCTAGTCCTAAGAGTTCTTGCTGCTGCTTTAAGATTTCATCCATCAATCTTGAATTATTCCTCTTGAAAATACCTTTAAAAAAAGGTTGCATTGTCAGCCAACTCCTATAAAGAGTGCTACAAAACAAATCTGACACTAGGCAGGAAGAAAAAGGAATCAGGTAGTCAGTCAGTACTGGTTTCAAACTGGAGTTCACAAGTACGATAAGAATCCAAAGCAAATACTATTGCACATGACTAATTCCAGTGACCTTGGAAAGACAACTCTCACGTGCTTTTGTTCCTCTTTCACTCAACTTGACTTAAGTAGCAAGTTGCAATTGCATAAGGGATAGCTTAAGACTCACTTCATTGTCCATGGCATGCTAGCAATAGTTTCAGATAGCAATGCCCTACCAGCACAGGACCACCAAGTCAGATTAACACCAAGCTGCTTTAATGCCCATACTACTGTAAATGTGCGGCTTAAGTCTACTACCACATCGTTAAGGCTGCAAGCTAACAAAGCAAGTCACCACAAAGCAAGAGCCAGAACACTAAATCAGCGTATCAGGCCACAGCAACTGTCCACTCTTACACCATGGCCATGCCATGGATTTCCTAATAAGAGGATTTCACAAGCTGTATATTCCAAGGACTTAGTGCAGTCCCCAAGGCATTAGTGCAGTCCCCAAGGCATTTTTATACTTATTTATGGTAGAGGCATTTTGAGTGCAGGCGATTACAGAAACTTGCTTAACCAAACATACTTGGGTTGCTGTTCTAAAATAAATTCTAGCTCCTGAGAGACACAACACAACCATTTCTAATTAAAAGCCATTGTAAAAATTATGTGTTACAGCTTAAATATTTACAATGCAAAAGTGTGGCTAGGCATATTTACCTAGGAACTGATAACGCTTTTATCACATTGTATTCAGGGTTTGTTACTAAGAGCCTAGGTTTCATTCAGAAATCTTATGTCAAGCACTTTTGTTGACCAGTCTAAAAATGCCCACAGAGTCTTACAAGAAGCACCGAACTTGTATACAATTTTATGATGAGGCTTATGATTTATCATCTCAACCCAATTCTGGGATTAGAACTGCCACAAACCGCAGTTTCCACATCGGTAATGGTCAAACAGTGTATAAGCATTGGGTTAAGACCATAATATATTAGGAGTTAGTTTGCAACATGAAGTGATACAACACATTTATTTAATATGCTAGTCTTTTAGCCCTCGTATTTTTTACACAGGCTTCATTAGAGGTTTTAATAGGTGCTAACGCATCTGGTTTTCCTCCCATCTTGGACACTTCCTGCAAAAAAATAATTTACTTCATTACACAAATGTTAGTGGCGCTTATAACCAATTTCACATGTTGACAGACAAGCAAATCTCAGTGAGGCAGTGACCTTGATAGAAGAAAAGCATTAGAATATTTTCAGTAAGCTTAAACTAAAGTTAAAACTGTTACACTTCATGCTCCTGGTTACTAGTGTATATTCATATGTGTTAGAAGTTGAGAATGCTGCTTTGAATAATGCTGTCTGATACAACTCTGCTTGGATAAGTTGGTTTTGTGCTAGAGTTAGCACTGACAGTCTTCCTTGCACTTAAGATCAGCAAGCAGTGCAGCTACTGCAATTGCTAATCCACACCATCTTCAAGTAGGATCTTTATAAGGCTGCATGTGCCTCACCTCTAAAAGTCACTTGACTTCCATCCACTTTTCAAGATTAGGAAAAAAAAAAAAACCCCAAACCCTGCCATAATCACTATTCAGAAGAAGAGTTGTTATAATTAGGAAAGTCTCCTAATCCAGGAAACAGACAGCTGCTCTCTTCTTCCCCTTCCCCACCCAACACACTAATGACATCAATTCCTTTCTCATGGAAAGTTGTTGCCTGTTCCTGTCAAAGACTGGAAGAACAGATTTAAGAGTCCACACTCCAGCTCTGAAGTAACTGAAGTAAACACTGGGAATAACAGGTCGGAGAATAGACTAAGGTGTTTACTGCTCAGTAAAAAGGGACATCAGATAAAGGACTTGGTCCAGCTCTGAGTGAAGGTCCTCAATACACACAGTTCATACTGAAGACATGCTACATGTGGTTTTGAGATTATCTGAATATCACCAGCATTTCCCTTCTATTCTCCTTACTTATCTCACCCACCTCCTTAGTTGTTCAAACATGGGTCCTGTGTTGCTCTTGGAATAGCAGTTTAACATAAACTGAAAGCTACTGTAGTTGTACTGCATAGTTGTAGTACATCTGTCTTTGAAAGACCTCCACACCTGAAGTTCAACTGATCCACCAACCTTGACACACCTGCAGCAAAGATCCTGAAGCACATCAGAAGGTAGCAAACATCCAGACTAACCAAAATCTTCATTTAAAACCAATAGCATTTGGGAACTTTACTCCTTCAGTGTTCTGTCTCTCACTCAGTGCACAAGAGACCTTTTCTTATGAATGCATATGATGGCAAATACAGTCCTGCCAGAGGCAATGTACATGGGCCAAATCCACATTTGACTTATATAAAATAATTTTATATGGTCATGGCTCAGACATACACTCCCTTCCCTTACAGCATCTCAAACCCCAATTTGTCTACAAGGTGCATTTTTTAAAACTTTGAAAAGATATCCAAGTTAGTTCTGGAAGCTGCTGTTGGTAATTTATACATGATAAATATAGTAAACAGGAGCGTGTGAGTAGACCCACTCACTAACAGAATTCAAGTGTTCCTAGGCAGCGAGACTTCAGTCTTAATGCAATGCTACCTTCCAATTTTGTTCAGTCTTCCACAGAAGTTGAAAGCAAGTCCATAATATGATTTTAACATTACAGAAAGTTAATGTTTGACAAGAGGTCTAATAAATTTTAGCAAAACAACAGCCGTTTGCTGTTAAGTGGGGAAAATTTCAGCCCTACTACTGTTTCTAATATGGAACACAAACATGAAATTGTCACTATTATTTCTCATTAGAAACAATTTTTGGTTTTGAAATGCAGTAACAGTTTTGTTCAGTCAGAACTCTGGAGCCTTTGTAAGCTGGTGCAAGTGTGTATATTCCAGCAAATGAAGCATTTTAAGAATTATGCACATTTAAGCACTACAATTCCCAAAGCAAGAGAGTATAAGACTTCAGTTTATTTTTTTAAACTACCACGAATGTGTGAGCTGTTTCCAGGGATAATTCTTGTTTTCACACCACAATCTGCAAACCTGCTGTTGATCATTAGTCCCTATCAGATCAGAGGCAAACCAGCCTCCACTACACGAGTCCTTTCCAGGGCACATACCTTTTGCTCAGTTTTACAATAGTTACAAGCCACATTCCCTGGCCATCAACTGTGGTGTTGCAGCATTTTATAACCAAGGCTCAAAACTGACAGGAATTGTTCCACTCCAGCTCTCAACTGGCACAGAGAAACACCAGGTGGTGTCAACCATTTGTTTGTCCAGCTAGACTACCACAGCCACCGCCTATTAAGGCCTTGGTAGCATCTCAAAGTTCAACATTCTCACTTGCCCTGCTTTCTGAAGCAGCAGAATCTGGTAAAATACAGAATAGTCAGCTCTTCCTCACAAGGGAACTCGTTAACCAAAGTTAAGCCAAGGAAAGAATAAATTTCCACAGCATTTCAGTTATTTGTTTTTTCTCAACTCCCAGTGCTAACAAGGGAAGAATTGGTTTTAAGCATCAAACTAATAACAGTTTAAGAAACATCAAATCATAACCCACTTCAAATAACATACACGCAAGAAACTTTTAACACATGAACAACTTCTTCCTACATTCTCATTTGGATCATGGAGGAACGTGTTTAACAGAGGAACACCGGGTTTGAGTCATTACATTCGACCTCACAGGATATGGAGAGCTAGGGGGAAAAAAAAAAAAAAAAAAAAAAAAAAAAAAAGTATTAGGCTTGTCTATTCCAAGAGCCTAGAAAAAATACAATCCAAGTTTGAAAGTGGCTGAAGACACTTAAGTGTCATCCGCATTAAAGCCACTTGTGCTAGCGAGGACTAACCAAACAGGAAGAATTCAAGTTAGAACATATAACCTCGTAGGTGCCCATTCCTCCACATGTCTTTTTGGAGGGACGTTCTGTACCAGGAGAACAAGAGCTCATCAGCAATCAAGAGAAGAGACACTACTTTCATATTACCCATACCAATAAGGAGATAATCTTCGACAGAATAGCATTAACCCTTTTAATAAATGTGGTTTCAGGACCCCTGCCAACTCAACACCAAAACGTAATTGTCGAATTTGAAGTTTCACATGGGTCAAGACCCGCAGCAGATGCCATGTGATACTGGTATCTCACAGAAAGCATTCTGGTGGCACAAACCCAGAACATACTTATCTCCCCCAGTGAAGTGAACACACTGAACACCCACAGAGTTTTATGGATTGATCAGATGAGCTAAACTACCAAGTAATTTGGAAGACACTAAAAGCCTACACTTGGGGCTAATGAAATAATTTCTTTTGCTTACTGCAGTACTCTGTCCTTTCAAAGAATTTCTAAGACAAAATTGATTAGAAGTAAAGCAGTTCCCTGGAAAACTAAACCAAGGATGATGAAACACAAGTTCTCAATACGGTCATACTATGAGCTTTAAGAAGCCTTCAACCTGAAGCATCTATTCAGGAGCCCAAAGTACCCAAACACCAAGATTCAGCAAGCTCCCAAAAAGTGCTCTAGACTTGTCCCGAACTATTTCAGGAAAGCTTCACTGATGGACAGAAGTAACACTCAAGCAAGCTCTCTTGACTGGCAAAGTAACTTTAACAGAAGAAAGTTAAAGTGTATAACACTGGTCAAAGGCTTCTGCCCCTCAGAAGATATTTTAACTGCTATTATATAATAGCATAATCACTACCTTCTGACTGCGAGAAGGCTGCATTATTTCCTCAGAGATAAGGTCTTGATCAGCACGGCTGGATTTCTATCAAGGAATGGGACTGGCGATACAGAAGTCCACAGAAACAAGTCCTTGATCAAAACCTAAATTTTTAGTCAAGCTGGACTTAAAACCAAGGTGCGCACAGGAGCATTAAGTTTATTATGGCTTTGTTCTGTTGCTTATCAATGAAAAGTGGGAGAATGAAAAGGACCCTTAAACATGGCACCTTAGGCCTCCAAGCCTGCTGGGGCAGCGGGGGGAATATCTCCGTTTTGAGCACTGCAACTCATAGCACCATATTACAGTACAAGACAGGTACTTCCATTATGGTCCTCTTGCATTCTGAAAAGACCTTTTTACCTGTCTTCTGGCATCTTCACGGATTCAGAGAAGACAGCCTGATCATGTTGCACAAGTATTATCCAATGCGTTTGTAACATACTG